TGGCCCTCGTTCACCTCATCAATGAAACGCATTCGTTCCGCGTAGTCGTCGTGGTGTCCGTTCCCGTTGGCGTCGACAGACCCGGACTGACGATTCCGACCATAACCCAAGCCCACGGGGAACCCGGGTTGTTGCTTGTACCCGTGATGCCCGTAGTAGTGCGCCTGTTGATGAGTTCTCGGAACTGGGCGACCTGAAAAAAAATCACGTTTTCTTTCATTATTTTGGCCAGGATTTTTGGCGGGAATTTTACTTTTGATAGGGCCTCATATTCCGTTTTTACTCGGGTACCACGCGCACCTTTTTCCCCAAATTCAAGAGGGAAAGAAGGGGGAGTAGAATAAAATTTTCGAATAGTTTTATAAATTTAGGTTCCTAGAATACTTGATTCTAATGAAACATTTTGGGCTACATTCGACAAAAAAAGTTGCGTTAAAGCAAAAAATTGAATAGTACTGTACCTTATTTACTTGAATACCAAGAATCCTTCAGTAAGACACACCCCCTGGATTTTTAGCTAAAATTTTGAGGAAAATCTTATCCCGGCATAAGACGCACGCCTTAGTATTCTAATTTAGTTTGAAAATCTAAATTATAGCCCAAATAAGAATTGAAATCAATGGCGATTTTTTTGTTTCATTCAAATAATAGTATCATTTAATAGAGAACTCAGATTAAAAATTGAAGGTAGGGAGAAAATTTTCATATTTTTGAAAATTTTCCGTTTTAAATTTCAACTGTGACTATGAAACAACGCACCTCATTTTTTGCCCAAATTTACCGTACTAGAAAAAATGTGCGCGTGATACTCAAATAAATACTGTACAGTAGTCAAATTCATGTTCAATTCTTTTCTAAATTAAAATTTGGGCTTTCTTACCTTTTAAATAATTTGATTTTAGAGTCACTAAAATGGGTTGCGCGTCTTACTCGAGGATAAGTTTTGAAAATTTTTATCTGAAAAACCGCAGAGGGCGATTTTTGAGTGAATACGGTAATCACCAAAACATCACCACCCTCCTCCACTAATTGGATATTTCTACTCATCTCAGTTTTCACGGAGACCCGAAAACTAGCATTCAAAGAGCAACAAGGCAACTTCGAGAAACTTCCAAATCGAAAAAGGGTGAAAAAAAGTAAAGACGTTTTTACCTTCAGAATCCAAGGCACTGAAGAGAACGTAGTCATCAGCGGTGTTCAGGTCTCGAGCAGGACGCTTGCTGCTCCCATTGATCAAATACGTGCTTCTCGGCAGCGTTGCCGACCGCCCAGCAGGCGCCTCGTCATTCTGCTGCAACTGCTGCTGCTGCTGTTGTTGTTGCTGCTGCTGCAATTGCGACACTCGGTCTTGCTGTGCAAGCTGCTGCTGTTGTTGTTGCTGCTGCTGCTGCATAGTCAGAGACGAAACAGCGCGTCCGTTGACAGCGGCGACGGCTACATCGTGACCCAGGGAGGTCGGGTCGTTGTAGCGGAAAATGTTTCGTTGCAGGCTCTGGAAGCCCGGGGTCGAGATTTGACGCAAAATATTCGAATTTGGTTGCGTCAGGGATGCTGAGATTCCGTCCAAGATTCTTTGCAGTCTCTCGACTTCGTTTTCGTGTCGTTGAATTTCCGGGTGTTGCTGATATTGAAAAAGATGAGAAAATTTTAAAATTCAGTCGACATCAAAATTATCTTAGTTTCCTACATCGTATTTCCTAAAATCAAAGTTAAAACCTACCATAATATAAGCCTTAATCAAAGCACCTGAATTTAAATTCAGAATGAGTCACAAGAATTTCAGGGACTGGGCCTAATTATAACATCGCGTCATCCAATTCTTGAAATCTGATGAAAATTTTCCTATTCAACCCCGACCCTCAGGTTTCCCTGAGTTTGAGTCACAGTGAATTTTTGGGACGAAAACCAGACCGGTCATTTCTTGGGAGAAAAAATGGTACTACACAGAATTTTCTTTCTGAACACATAGCTTCAGAAAAATTCAGCTTACCTTCGTTGCAAGTTTCGGACTCGTCTCGCTCAACAAAGTGTGCAAAATCGACAATTGTTTGCCCAGATCAATGTACCCATCAAACTCGGGCGCTCTGGAATCTTTGGGCAATGGACTCTGCAAAACAAAATTCGAATATTAGTGATTCAACTTCAACAACAAAGATCAGACAAACTTACAGAGATCTGCTTGAGGAAAGTACGCATTGTAGGTGCCTCTCGGTCGAGGAACGGATTCAAGAATTCCATGAAAGACTCCTTGCTCTGGAACTGAGTAAAGTTAGCCAGTGTTTGCAGCGTCTTCGCTACTAGGGTCAAATGTCTGGATCCTTTCTCATCCGGATATTCTGCACAGACACAAAAAAAAAAAAAATAATAATAATCCGAGGTTTGGAGACCAAGAAAAACAGCCGCCC